TAATATTTTCTACGGAAATAAAAAAAAAAAAAAAATTACTTTTTCTCAACATGAATCTTTTACCCTTGGATTGCAATGCGGAAATATTGGATTATCTACGAGATGATGAAAAATCGCTTTATTCAATCATTCGCGTAAATCGAGCATGGTGTCAACTTGCCGTTCCATTATTATGGAATCGACCTTTTAAAGTGAGAAGAAAAGCATCGATAATTAAAACCTTAATTTCATGCCTTTCAGAAGAAGATAGGGTATCAATCCTAGGAGAAGGGATTGATAATTGTTTTGAATTAAAAAGAGCCTCCCCATTATTTGATTATCCCTATTATATACGAGCTTTAGATTATAGAAATCTTGAAAGTTCAATTGAGAATTGGATTTCACATAAAAGTTCACCCCCTAACGATATCGGATTATCGATGTTTAATCTACTTGGAAATTTAATATTCTCACGTTCGCGAGGATTACTTAATTTAAATATACGTCATTATGATTATTATTATTGTAAATTCGGGGAGCATTACACTAGTGTTAAAGACATCTTAACGTTTAATCATCTCGAACGTTCTTTAGAACAACTAGAAAATCTTGAGATTGGTTTTTATTCCGAACCTCGTGAGAATTGTGATGTCGTCTGCGAATCGATGTCAGGTTTCTTTTCTGCCTTATCAAAGTATTCAAAGTGTATTCAAAAGGTTACCATCGAAATCTTATTAGATTCAACGGAAATAGATAAAGTGAACAAGGTTGCGAATTCATTTTCTGATTTCATTAGATCTCAAACAAAGCTCAGTACTTTGGAAGTTAATCAATCCTTGGGTGGTACCTTTACAAATTCATTATCCGAATCCTTGAATTTTCTTAAATTCAATGATTTAAAGAATGTTCATAGTTTACTCCCTGCGCTTAGCGCTTGCGAAAGATTGGAAACTTTGGAAATCTCGGGATATTTTGCGGTTGAAATGATTGAGGATTTACACGGATCTGTTAACGATTTACCGCCGATCCACATAACGAATTTGCATGTTTATCAACTGGAGGAGTATGAATTTGAGAAACACTTGGAGATGTTCATAATAATTTTACTTAATTTATCAAAAAATTCGTTAAGGTCTTTAACATTAGATTACGTGAATGTACCAGTTATTGAAGCCATAACTGGGGCTTGTTCTACCCTTAAACACATTGCCTTAAATATGATCCTTATGGATGCATCAGTCTTCATTTCATATCTATCAAATTTTACCTGTTTAGAATCTTTGATTTTTATACAAGATTTAGATGAAGAGCAGGAAGATGATTCCATGTTTAGTATTTTACCCGACCTTGCAAGTCGTTTACCTTCGACATTAAAATATTTGGGTTTATGGGCCATAATGGATACTGAAACTTTAAATAAAACATTACGCAAACTTAAGGTTCCCATAGAAGAATTGGACGTTTTTAAAAGATTCGATGATTCTGACATGGAAGTCGTAATTAAATACGCTGAAAAAAATCCAAAGTTGAGAAGGCTCGGTTATAAAAAGGTTTCACCCACCGAATCTAAGCTATCAAAGGATTTATTAGATCGAGCTAGTTCTATCATTAAGAGCATTGGTGACACGAGACCCATCAAAAATGCTGTATGTTTGTAATTATATGGGATAAAAAGAAATTTTATTTCTTATTTTATTTTATTTTATTTTATTTTTTTTTTTTTACATTAGGGTTAAATAAAAGGTTTAAAACCAATTGTACAATATAATAAATGTTAAATATCATACCATCACTTATTTTTCAAATGGAATTTGAAATGTTAATATTTAATAAAATACGCGTTCATCATCCTTTCGTTCGCAGAATTTCAAATTTCGATTTTTTTGTAACTTTCAATCAATCTTAAAGAGACCCATCGTCATTGCTTTCTTATATATATTTAACCCTACCATATAACCTGAATATTTTTCGTTTGTTTCGTTCAATCTTTTAACGAAAGGAACGTTTTCGATCATTTCGTGCCTAGTGCTTTTATTTGACTTTCATCATGTGATCTAACAATATCATGTGATTTATACATGAATTTTGTTTTCTTCTTTTATCGTTATGTGAACGGAAGCTCTATTATATAATATGCAAATAATATCTTTAATAACATCCTTTAATTACAGGACTTTAATTCGAGATTAATTCATATTTGAGCTCTTGTTTGCTAGTTATGTTGGTCGTAGGGATACGGAATTTTCGACTCTTAATAACCGATTTCGCCATTTCGAATGACTTTGTTCGTGAGACGCGACTGAGCCAAACACGAATATCTGGGCTCAAGCATAGTTTACAAAATGAAAAAAACATGGAATTTTGACGAAATAATTCAACAGGTTTCAAAAATTTTAATTTTAAATCTGATAAATTCAACGCAAGGCTATAAAGTTTATTGATCATTATTAAGTTGTTAATAATTAAAATTAAAAAAGAACATTTTCGCGATTCATTCGACGGCAGAATCGATTTGAAGGATCTAACGACAGGCTAGAATTTACCACGCTAAATGATACTTCAAACGTATATATATTTTTTTATAATTTAAAACTAATTTTTTGTTTTTAGCACATTTCATCACCATCCTTATTTTTATTATCAAAAACAGGGAACAAGAGTAGTAATCAATGAAATGTGATAAACAAGGAACATCACCAACCGAGAAAAATAAAGTGAGTGCAGTACTAAAACATAAATCAATCCTTTACGATGTATGCACAAATATAAAGTTGCGATATTGACATGTAACGATAAACAAGGGATTGCCTCACGTGGGACAAGTGGACATTTAATAAATGTGTCATGTTTTTAAAAGAATGTTCTTTCGTTTTTCCCATAAATATGCCAACGCATCTGCCCGAATAATGTACAAGAAATAATACAAAAACTTTCCAAATCACTGTATTCCTGTTTAGTAATAAACAAATTATTGCGTATCACTGCAGTAAACTACAGTACGTATCTATCCCTATGATAGAATCCATGGTTTCTAATATCAATGAATTATAAACGATGGATTTATCATCAAACACAAACTTACTATCCCTTCCAAAGTTCTTGAATAATTTGTATAATAATTTCGAAACCTTTAGGTTTTGGAATTTTCAACAAAAATTTTTGAAGAAAATTTATCGAAAATCGCTCATAACATACCAGAATTAATGCATCTTAATTAATCAAATTCTTTAACATCGATCATTTTTAATTTGATTTGCATCCCATTGACTCATCTATTTCCTGTTTTATTAATCTAAGACATATGGGTAAGACCGAATTTAATTTGTTGGAACCAGTTACACTCGTTCTTTAAAAGTTATACTCATTAGTTAGTGACAACGGGTATACGTTTAAACATTATCTCGGGAGCGAAAGTTGAATATTTCCGTTAGTTGTATCCGTAACATTATTGTTATTAAAACAAATATTTTATCTAGAAGATTTACCTTTCGAATTCTATTTCAAGACGGTGATTTGAAAATTACCTATTTATCAATTAAATGTGATTAGAACTCGGATTTAGTGGAAATTGGGATCTTCAAACCTAAAGAATTTTTTTGAGAGGTGGAAGAACAAACAAATTTAAGAACTTATATTTAACCTTTGGATGCATCAAAGCTTTAAAGCGTTATGTAAGATCATGTCATAGATATGAGAACAAAGGAATTTTACGATCTTGGATGTTACAAAACGTATCAAATGCCTTTTGTAATACATTAATATTTTATTATCATCATCATCATTTAATACTTACTATCCAATGAATCCAATGATGTAATGATACTCTCACGTGCGTGTATAGAAAGGTACATTTACGTAATGTTATACATATTTGAATGCAGATCTGTGATATATTATATAAATTAATATATAATGTAGGACAATGACAGACATGACATAACTATCCATTTTTTCTTGTTTCTGCGGTAATTGTGACCTTTTTTTTTTTTCCCTTCTCTTATGATTTCATTCTTATCTGCTCACATAATATTAGAATTCTGTTATATGCTTTGTAATATCATTAACAAATAATCTGGGAAATAGGATTTGCTTGAAATGGTAACAAAATATTTAGGAAACGATTTTTTTTTTTTTTTTTTTATCTTTTTTCCTAAGCAAGATTAATTGATTTTTTTTTTTTTTTTGAAAAATTAAAATGGTTTCAACAAATATTAGCAAAGATGGAATCCAAAGATAATAAAGATAGCCTTCAAGAGACATCAATTGATTTATCTTCTACAGAAATAGCTAATCAAAAAGAAACAAATCATGCTTTAAGCCAAATTCCATCAGAAATCCTTGTGATAATTTGTGAATTTTTAAATCCTAAAGATCTTTTTTCTTTAACCCTAGTATGTAAAAAATTAAGAAGGTTGTTATGGTCATTTTCTTCTTATATAACTCAACAAATTTGGCGTAATGCAAGAATCAAGTTATCAATTCTTGATGAATATAAGGGAATTCCTCCTCCTGAAGGGATCATGTTTGAGCAACAATATATTTGGTTGATTCATTTGGCTGATGCTTGTCAATTTTGCGGAAATAAACGAAGGGGCGCTTCAAAGATTTATTGGCCTTTTAAAATGTACTGTTGTGTACCTTGTATCAACCTTCGTACTTTAAAGTAAACATTTCTTTTTTTTTAAAAAAAAAAAAAAATTTTTGTTTTGTTCTTTGATGCGAAATTAATAACTATATCTTTATTAGTAATGAAACGGCAAAGCAAAGAGGAATTTCATATACCGTCTTTGATATTTTACCTCACATTGTTCTTTATCGGGATAATCTAAAAGGTTCAAAATGTGATAATAAATTAGATAGATACTGTTTGAGAAGTGAAGCTATAGGAATTCAAAAGGAATATGAAAGTATTGTTGATTTTGAGGAAAAATTAAAATGGGTTGAAAAGAAAAAACAACATCAACTTGTGATTAATGATAAACTGGTTCAGTATACTCTTCGGGAAGAAAACAGAATTCAAAGAATTTGGAGAGAAGAATATAAATTAAGATTTGGTTATGGACACGCTAATCGATAAAGTTAAGGAAAAAAGATGATTTATGAGACCTCAATAGTGTTTTTTTTTTTTTATTGATTTTTCCAGAAAATCCTTGGTTTGTACTTTAAAACAAGTAAATTTATTTTTTCGAGTAATATTTTGGTAATTTCGAAATAGTAAGTGATATTGCGGTGATCGTGCTTAAAAATAATTCCTATATAGATCAATTCATCTGTTTTTTTTTTAAAAAAAAAAAAAAAAAGAATAATTGAAAAGAATTATTAAAACGATAACTTTAATATTTGAAAAAAAAAAAAAAAAAAAAGGAGTCACGTTAATCGTCTATTGAAAGAACGTGACTCTGATTGTCTAAATCTGATGTCTAAAGTATTGTTCTTTATCTATATTATCTTAGTTAGATGATCATTGTCGCCCCATATACGTTCAAAGTTTTGGGGGTTGATTTATTATACAACACGTGAGGTAACAATAACAAGTTGAGAAGACGAGTTCGATTTCAATTCCTTGAAAAATATAAAAGTTTTTTTTTTTTTTTTTTTTTGCGATAAACCATTTTTTTTCGGTTTGTACCTCATTTAAGATAATTACCCCGCATAGCATTTATTTTTTTTTTTTTTTTTTTTTTTTTTTTTAAAAAAAAAAAATAATAATGATAGCGTCAACGTTACCTTCAGAAATTTTAATAGAAATTTTTAGTTATCTTCATCCAAAAGATCTTTATTCACTTTTATCAGTATGTAAACGTTATCGTACATTATTATGGTCAAAAACATCAACGACAACTCAACATGTATGGCGTTCCTCAAGGATTCGTTACATATTACATCCAACTTTCGAACCACCTGTTAATATGTGTGAACAACAATATAATTATTTATTAGTAGTGGTGAATGTTTGTCAATTTTGTGGTGAATTTCGAAGACTTTCACTAACTATGCATTGGGAATTTCATATGTATTGTTGTAAAGAATGTTTATCGCAAAGATGTGTTAGGTAAAACTTTTATAAATTTTTTAAATTGTTCTTTTCCTTTTTCATTTTACAAATTTTTTACGAAATTTTTTTTTTTTTTTTTTCCTCCCATTTTGTAAAATCCTTTAAAAAAAAAAATAAAGTCGAATTACACTTGTAGAGAAATGGAAATTATTTGAAGAATTATTAACTTGTTTACAACCGATATTAACCCCACCGACGAATCAAAAAATATTTTTAGTCTCGGACGTAATGACAAAGTTGAATGAATATTTTAATATTGAAGATGAACAAAAGCGACTTGATTGGATACAAGAAACCAAATTAAAAGTTATTAATATGACGAGAGTGCATAAGAAATACAAAACTCAATTTGATTTAATTAGGTATAGCGTTAAGGAAAGGATTCAGAGATTAATAGATAGATTCAAATTTTATCAAGTTACCTCTACTCAAGTTTAACAGAAACTTTTAAAGGGAAAGAAGGTTTTTTTATTTTTTTCTTTTTGTAAATTTAATGTGTATTGCTTTATATACTGTATTTATATATATATATAATATTCATTGAAATTGTAAATAAAACTTTATTTATTATTTTTATATGTTTGATTACGTGTTGTATAGAAAAATTAAAACAATAAATTATTTTGTTACATTACTTTGATCAGCGAGTTACTTTAACGTTAAAATACTAAAATTTCTTTCCATTTGTCCGACATTCGGATATACTTAAGCTTTTTATGTCAAATATATTTCTTCTTATCGGATTAAACTTTATCAATTATATTTGTTTGTTTCAATTTTTTATTGATTCAATTCGTAAATTATGTCGCAAATAGATTGGTTGAATTTATTTCGTCACGCCTTGTGAATTTTTTCTTTAATAAACATTCAAATACAACTTACGTACAAAATCGTTT